CCCAGGGAGAGAGAGAAAGAGAGAGAGGGAGAGAGAGAGAGAGACAGACAGAAAGGGAGAGAGAGAAAGATAGAGAAAAGCTCCGCGAACGAGATTTTCTTTTTTTCCCAGCACCGATAGGAGACCACGTTCGATCCGAGAAAGAAATTAACCGTGGTCGGCCATTGAAATCGCGAAGCTGACGCTGGGTACCAGAAGGTACCCGCCAATGGAGGCCTATTCATTTTCCCGGTGGAAACGAGACGCTAATAAAGCATCGGCGGCCGAAGGGTAGGGGGTTGGGAAGAAATAAAGGAACGCGGAACCGAGCGCCTGAGATATTAAGCCCGATAATGGATTCTTATGTTCGCTCGAGCGTTCCCTGATATTTCCGTGATATTCATTTCGCCATATTGTTGCCGGGGCGCACCCGGTCCTTCCGTCGCCGGGCGCCGCGTCCCATTCCGGGGCAAGAAACTTTCCATTCCTTAATGAGAAAACAGCCGGCATCCGGTCGGACGGGATGGGGCTGGATGGAGGAAGATAGAAGAGGAGAGCACGGAACGGGACGGGACGAACGGGAGGGTTGCATTAAATGCAACTTAACTGGGAAACGAGGGGAAAACGATTCCGTCCGCTGAACGTCCAATTTCTTCGAAACTACGGCCCGTGAATTCATCCGATTTGGATGATGAGCGTTGCTCGCGTGCACGCCCTCTTGGAACTTCGGGATCCTCTTAATTCTCGGGGTAATCGGGCTCCACGGTGTCTTGAGTAATAAGTACGTAATTAAAGGAGCTGGACCCGACGGTTGTGTTGGCGCGTTTGATTTTGTACGTGATTGTTTGTTACTCCTCGGTTCTTTAAGTAATTGTGTCTTGTATTGATTCTAAGAATACGTACGAATAAGGATGATGGAAGTTGATGTTTTGTGATATAGAAATATAGTGTCTTGAATTCCTTTTGAACTGTTCTATTTCGTAATTGCTTATTAATCCTCTAGATAATAAGATTTTCTATTGCTAAAGATAACAAGTACAGAGTGAAACAATTGCAATAGATGCTTCAGAATACAGAAATGGGAGACAGTAGTTTCTGCTACAGAATCCGTTTCATCCCCAATACTCGTAACCCCTCCAGCCAATCGAATCTTGTATTATCTCGAATCCTAAGTACCGCACGTAGAATAACAAACAGCCATCCGATGACGCGTAAGATAAAAAATCAGAACACACTTGAATGATCCTCTCCGCAATCTCCGCTTCTAAAGTAGATCGACTTTGCCCCGCGTATAAATATCTTCTACGTAGAACTTAACGCATCGATCAGGCTGATTAAGATAACGCGTCGCGAGAGGGTAGCGAAGGAAGCAGCCCTCGCCGCCGCTTATCCCGTTGTGTTCCTCGTTAAAACGAAAAATCGTTCGAGACCCTCGAAGCGTCAGCCTATTTTCAATCAAAGCCTCTCCCGTTTGATAAGCAGCCGAGGCGGCGACGCCGGCGGCCCGGCGGCACCGTCACGCAATCATCTGTGCTTAATCTTATCTTCGCCCCTAAACCGGGAAGCCGCGCGGAACAACGGCACCGGCAGCGTCGCGCCGCGCGGAAACAACACCGTCCCGGGGCATTATCTTCTACTCGACCGGCCGTAAGTAGGAATCACGGGATCGATCATTCCCGGTTGGAACGCAGAACACCGCTCTACGCGACCGGTTGCCTCCGTTATCGATAGCCCCGTAACCTTGCGAAATTATTGAACGAACCGGCCCCGCGGCGAGTGGGGAACACGTTCGTTTCCGGGCGTATTTTCCTCGTCGCGTGAATCGTCGTTGGGGGTGGACGGGCGGCGGCAGGAGACGGGTTCAGCCGGGACAGCAGGAAGAGGGCACGTTGCATCAGGAATTAAATCAACGCGCCTTCGTTGATGGAGATGATGGGAAACTAGATAGAAAAGGGGTGGGGGCGGACTGATGGGTGACGGCGCTGAGGGAAGGGGATGCTCGTGTGCGGAAGCACCAGCGATAACCGAGTTGTGAGGACGGGAAGAGGACGAAA